ACTAACTTTGTTTGAAGAGAAGTATAAGTTGTGTTATAAAGATCAAGTTAATTTTTGAAAATGTTCTCAATAAAAAGTTCAATCGATACTGAAATTTTGACTATTGCATTTAACCGATATTAATATCCGTACAATTTATTTTACATATAATATTTCTTGAAATATCTATATTAGGTACTCCTTTAATAACGTTTTAAATCAAAAATGTTTCCGAAAACAATTTCCAATCATGAAAAATCCTAGGTTACATATTGATATTACAAACCAAATTACAGAATTTTATAAGTCCTATCATACGTTTCCAACACAACAAATCAATTAATTTTTTTATCAATTCGTATCTAGTTTTAGAAAAATTATACAATCAAATAAATTGATTTTCAAAACTGCAAGTTAAATAACTTATACATTTGATTTAAAAGTATCGAGTGAAAATCTTTAATTAAACTGGACACATTATTTAATTTTTTATCAGCTACAGTTAATATAGACTATAATGGGTAAAAGATACTATATATGACTGGTTTTAAGATTAATAATTTTTTTTAACCCAAAACTAAAATATTTGCTTTTTGAATAATATGCTTTTACGTGAGAGCGCGCATACATACAACTTTATAACTTACATGCGAGTCATATTTGATATAATATTATGTTATATTGTACCAATTATACCTAATACTTTTTTTAATAACCCAAAAATTGTTTCTAACAGCTCACCCTGTACCTCTTAATATATGCTCAATTATTTAGCAATGTGTAGGTAAAGCTAAATATGATTTAAAGTCAATTTACCGATGTCGCGGTCGCTGTGCTAAAAAACAAATATCTACGCACGTTTCTTTTTCTCTCTTTGCGAAACTACAATTACAACAATAACAGCAACAGCAGCAGCTGCTATTGCTTTAAATATAAATGTATATATGTATTTACTGTCATGGGCCGCCCAACGACGGTGGCACGCACGACCCGTGTCCGAAACGTCGAGGAAGTCACGTTCGGTCAATTAAAAAACACAAGCGTATATATTATACACAATGGCTGCAGAGTATATACGGCAAAGATTATAATGTATATTGTCGTCGTCGTGTCGACGGAAACATGCATCGACCACGATGACGGAAGTTCAACCACTGCATAAACACATTATAATGTGTGTATATATAACCATGTGGGAATATAAGATACAGTTAAATAATAATAAATATAAGTAATAACACCGATACAAAGTATATACTGTACGATATGATAAACAGTGAGTATACTTATTATATAGTTATTATATTATGTACGTGCGATGTATATGAGTGTTGGAATATAAATAGCGCGTAGATACATACATAAAATTTATGTGCAGGTGCCAGATACAGTCATACAGAAAAAGAAAATCGTATTATTATTGTACTTTTAGATCTAGAGCGATGAATGAGTGTATTGATTATACAATTATGACATGATGTATTAATGTATATGTATCTAACCGACAACCGTTTAGCTCTGACGTACACCACTTGAACAGCAGTAATAATTCTACATCAATTATGAGGATGATTTCTGGTAGATAATTAGATCTAGTTGGTATCCCGAGTGATCGAAAATAAATAATTTTCAGTACTTTTATGATATTTCGATATTGGTTTATAACTTATAAGTAAAGAACATCTAAAAAAATTTACATAGTTATTGAAAAAATAAATTAAATCTGATGTACAGGGTAATGGAGCAAAAACGACCACATTTGAGATAAGCGTAACTTTGGGAAGGGACATCGCATAATATTACCGAACATCTCATTGTTTAGTAAGTGACGGGAAGTTTAGTTGCTATGGTGCAGAGGAATATTCAACATCGCTCATTTGCTGTAGAGACATTTTTTCGAAACAATGTTTTAATCGTAGCTACACAACGCACAATCCGCACGCGATTTAGTCTCTTTCCACGCACAGTTATTTCCAACCATCGAGCTAAATCATCCGTCTAGGAATTTTTAGGTGGCCACCTTACCATGTTCTTAAGAATCTTAAGCCCATTTTAAAATAGGTCTGCGGTTGGTAACAACTGCACGCAGATGGAGATCGATTGGTGCGGATTGCGTGTTGTGTAGCCACAATTGACTCATTGTTTCGGAAAAATATCTTTACGGCAAACTAGCGATATTGAATATTGCACTGCGCCATTGCAACTAAACTTCCTGTCATATACTAAATAATGAGATTTTCGGCAATAGGAAAACTTTCTGTTTTTTATTTTTTTTTTGAAACGCTTTTGTGGTGCGGAGATTTTGTTTAAACTATAACAGTTTATTTAAATAAATTGAAAAACAAACAAAACATTATAAACGTTTAAATACGTCGTTTAAAAGGTTAAGTGAACATTATAACTGATATAGTATAATGTATATGATGGTATATAGATGAATTCTTAATATATGATTGTGTTGATAGGATCTAAGGCGGCAGCATCACTAAACTATTCTATACTCACTAAACTATCACTATAACTAATGCCATTAAATATTATGTTAGATACTTTAATCATAAACCTAGGTATACGTTAGTAAATTTAGTTCGAGCGATCTTCAACACATTTATTAATGGGATTTGTGTATATATCATGATAATTAAATAAAAACTATAATATAAACTGAATTTTTAAGTTTTACCGTTATTTTAAATTAAAACCTACATAATATATTGGTTTTATTACATATATTTATACTGAATTCTGTAGGTGTGGTCTTGTTTTCCTTTTGGCACCGGTATATTGAAATACGATATTTACTAATACTATACTAAAAAAATGTGTATATACGTGATGATTTAAAAAAATAAATAATTCCTTAATTCAAATAGTTATTAAATAATATTACCTAAAGTTTTATTTATTGAAAATTACCTATACGTACATATGTATAACATATATTATCAATAATCAGAATTATCAATAAATTAAACCATACAAAATACAAATGCTTGAATATATTCCAATATCTAAAAATCCTATTTACAAGTAGTAATATAGCGGGCAAATACAATTTAAACATAAAACGTTGGAATTCTCAGAGATAATTTTTATTGATTAAATGTTTTATATATAAGTACAAGTATTCCATTGATATTCTAATAGCACAATAAAATCTTTATAAAATTAAATAGTTGAAAATTAATCTTTATTCATAATATAGTTTTCCCTATACGGATTTGTATACGTATAATATACGTTTTGTATAGACCAAAGTCCACAAATTGTTCGCTGTTCATTTGTTATGTCTACTACCAATTATGTACTGATAACATCATAAGGCAATAATTTTAGTTAGAAATTAAAATGAATAAATAAACGCTCAGACAAAAATCGTTTCTGATGGTTGTTGATAATATGTATGTAGTATATATATATATATATATATAACAGATATGTGTTGTTTTTAAAAAACCGATCACGACATATATACAAAGAAATAAGCTGTACAAAGTGTTTGAGATAGTCAACTTACAATGATTTATGACCTACAAATCATCCATGTATCCACGTATGCTAAAATGTAATAAATGACACAAAAAACTAATATAGGTACCTACTATTAATTTACCTACCAGTAGGTACTCGGTAAAAACAATAATAAATAAAGTTAAAGTTACTGTTGGTACTTAAATAGTGCACGATATTTACTCGTTTCGATAAAATTATATTCTAGTTTGCTTAAGCTAGTAAGCTGTGTAAAATGTCAACATCTTTATTGGGTAGTAAAAAAAGTTTTATGTTATCGACGATAAATTGTTAATCGCCAGTTTAAATAAAATTACACGTTCAAGGATTTACCGCATGTTTTGCAGGAGGGTTATTCGAAAAATAATAATCGATACGTATAGAGGTAATATAATAATTAATAATTACATAAAAATTACGTGTATATATATAAACGCGTATAATATATAATATTCAATATTGTATACGATAGTGTGTGTATTATTATATATTATTCTTGGCGCACTGTCGGGGATTAATTAACTTAGGTAGTCACGATATCCGCGATAAGATATAGGGATAGTTGCGAAATTCCATCAATTTTACATATTTATAAAAGCGTTTCGATGAATACATCATATTTTATAGTATACTCGTATATAAAATGGCCAGGGGGACGGCTTGTATAGCTTTTACAGATTATACACGTACCTATACCCAATGATACCAGTATTTAAATGTTATTCAAAAATCGTGCGGGTGAGAAGAATATATAGTATTCCAGCGCGTTTTTTATCCCGTACCGAGGTTATTTTATGCACCGAATACAAGTTTTTTTTTACAAAATCAGATATCGGTGGAGATAATGAATAACACTTTGGCGCCAATCGCACATAATCGCGGGCGTTATGTATGTGTGTTTTCTGCTTTCTCTGCAGTTCAATATCATGTGGCTCGCGGTGACACGGCTGTCGTATACCTTATATTATGTTTATAATGAATATTTATATATTATATTGCTGTATAATATAATATACGAGTATATATGGTATATTGTGTGATTATATACAGAAAATGATTCACCAAGTATGCTCAATCCCATTTTTTCTTTAAGCAATGAATTTTTAAGTATACTTAAAGACCATAATTTTTGAATTCTTGAAATTATTTGTATTACTTAAGAAGTGTATTTTTTGGTGATATAAACTTCTATTTTTAAAATAAAAACCTCTCTTTTTTACTGTAAATTATTTAATAAGTAATTTTTTCAAAATTTTGATTTACTTAATTAAACGCATTCCAATGCGAATAGTTTTTTAATTTTCAAAATGTTATAATTATTGTTCAAAATAATATAGCTTTTCAAATTTTTTTTTACAAAAATACAAAGTAGGTATATGCAGAGCTGGATTTAGGAGAAGGCTTGGTGGGGGAATTATTGATTTCGCCGAAACTACTTGTTTAGGAAAAATGTTTGTATTGATTCCGCCGGCTATTAATCTTTTCGGCTACTATTAATAATATTTACATACCGATTCCGCAGGACACTCTTTATCTCCCCTCCATTGTATATGTATTTAAAATATATTGCAGCAATTCCCAAAAATTTTTTGGTTTGCGACACCCTAAAAATAAAAAAAATGAATTGCGCCTCCTATGAATAAATAAATAACAAATTTATAGTATTTAATTATAGGAATATTTTTATTGTTATGACAAAATTAATCAACAATAAATATTATTAAATTTCTATTTAAAATATCATAACATTTTTAATATTTATAAAAAAAATAACAATTTTTTATTAATTATAATATTTAACCTTAATGCGAACAATGTGGTCAATCGTTGACTGGATGTAGTAACTTTCCGAAAATTTCCGAATCGTGTATAATACATTTACAAGGGAGGAATAAACAGTAGCCGGTGGAATCAATATGCAAATATTATAAACAGTAGCTGACGGAATCGATATATGCCCGCTGGGTGAATTGAAGCCCAGGGTCCCCCACAATGTTATGATATTTAAATTAGGATACAGTAAAAGTATTTTATTTATATTTACACATATATGATTAAATAATATTGAACTTTACTTGGAAATTTGAAAATTTTAATTTTACTAATAATAGATGTATTCGCGTTTATTGATAATGAACGGTGTTTAAGAATCTAGATAAGTTTTTATGCAATCCGTGATCGGTGTGCACCATCAAATGTAATAATATTAGTAAAAGTGTTTCTAAAATATATGCACGTATAGGTCTAGAATTATACGTCAAAATGTCATAGTTTATGTGCATTTATTTGGTTTTAATGATTACAAACAGCAGTAATGAAAGATCATTCTCTAATTTAAAGCACATAAAAAATAGACTGCTTACTTCTATGGAAGGAGACAGGCTCAATCAACTAACTAGCGATAATGAGCTTTGAGTTTGATACTTTAAGAAAACTTGATTTTCAAAACATTGATAATAAGTTTGTACAAATAAAATTAAGAAAAGTCCCAGGCATTTAATTTTAATTACTTGACAGTTGACATTATTATTTATTAATGTTCTTTATTTAATTACTTACACTTAATATTATGATAATATTATGCTAGTTATACTCGATTTGATTGTTTTTATAATAATTCATTAATAAATAAGTAGTTAATTGTTACCACTACTAAATATGATAATAAATATTGTTAATAAGTAAAAAAATATATTTCCTTGTTTGTGTATAAGGGGCCCCCACAATGCATTCCACCCAGGGGTCACCAAATACCTAAATCCACCCCTGAATAAATGTATATCAGAATTTAGTAATTATTATACTTAAACTATTATTAGGAAAATTATAAATATTATTAGATTAATATCAATTATAAAAATTTTGAACCACCATGGCCCCATAACCTCATATCTTCCAAACTCATTTTTATGGGTCTATTATTATTAGTACACAATGTAAAATAACTCAAAATTTACTTGTCTGAATTTCGATTTTGATACATTAAAATTTCTAGAAAAAATATCTACTAAATAATTTACAGTAGCAAAGGAGGTTCGTATTTTAAAACAAAAGTTTGAATCTTCATATATAACACTCCTGACTCCTAAGTAGAAAAAAATGTCTAGAATTTAGAATTATATATCACCTTTAAGTATATTTAAAAATGTCAAAAATCAAATTTTGATTAATTGTATTATTGAGGAACAAAACAAAGGTGAACATGTTTAGTGAATCACTCTGTACATACATTCCCAATAAGAGTTATCGTCAAATTATACAATTCCGAGAAAATGCGAAAAAATAATTTACAAAAACAGTTACTGTTAACAATATTATACACGTGTATGTTATATATTATAAATTATAATAAAAGAATACACTTCCAAATTCCAGTGTCTATATCAACTATATCTATTGTCGGATAAATCTATAAGAACGTTATATTCTTCTTTTTTTTTTTTAATTGTCACAATATTGAGGAGATGCATAGTCGAACTGAAAATGATAAAACAGACTAAATACTGCTGCAGTCTATTGGATAAATTATTATTGAAGTTGTACATTTGTTTCAAGTCAAAAAATAAAAAAAATACGAAAAAAGACATAAACCGCAATTTGCGGTCGTTTTTTCATCGGGCAATGTCGGTGAAAGCTGGGTCAGCACACCACAACGTTTGTCAACCACAGAGCGATTATCAAAAATGATAATGTAGGTACCCGTAATAATTTTAAAACAAAAAATAATCAAAACCATCACGGAGTGTTTTTGAAATTTAACGAAATAAGAATTGCACGATTTATACGTTTACAATGATGTTAAGTTTAAGTTTACGCTTTACCGTGTGTAATTTACTAAAATTTATGTATATTAATTATTTTACATAATATTTTATATATAATTTGATTTAGTCTCTGAACCACGCAAAATCTTGCAGGTCATTATTATGCATACTTTTCCAATTATTATATTATGTTTACACCATTAACTTATGTGTAATAGATTCTACGTATATGCTAGTTAACTCGATAATAACAAATAAGGATCAAGATCGATACCCAACATCCAACTAATTATTTTTAATTTTACGTGCGGAATTAGCATTTTGCAATGCTCATAGCTACATGGAACGAACTCATAAAAAATATTCAGAAAGAATAAAACTAAATAATAATACTCTATGCACAATATTTTCTATAATGCCGCTGCAGAAAGATATATTCACACATCCTTTAATATTCACCGAGTACCATATATTTAATATTGAATCCAAACAATTTCTCTGGAGAGGAGGGCTCACTTTTTTTTTATTGGTGAATAGTGATATATTTTAGTATTATGAATTATACGTATTATTAGTTATTACAATTTAAGCATTTATTTTTTATTAGGTGCGGTAATCGTAACGAGTATTGTGCATTTGTGCATTTAATAAATATATTCACTTTGTCAAAAGTTGTATTTATCAGAAGATGTGAAAGAAATTTTAAAATTTTAAAATTTCTAAAATATATCTGAATTCAACACTGATTATATTGAATTTATATTCAATTATATTGCACAAAGCTTAGACAAAATACGTTAATAACTGTTATTTTCAAAAAAAAAATTTTAAAAAAATAACCATCTTTTGGATTTTAAGTTAAAATTTTTAACATTTTTGTCAAATAATCTAGGATATAGTTGCCTACACTGAAATCTAAAAAAAACCATGGTTTGGGTTACTATAAATAATACCTTACCTATAAAGTATAAACAGATACTTTTAATAGTCAAAACTAATAAATATATCTGGATTTCCCTGTGAGACAAATTGTTTACAATCTGAAATGTAGGTACTTTTGTGTTTGTAATCTTTGTAATGACTAATAACTAATAAGATATTACCAACATTTAGTAAATATATGTAAACGCAAATAAAAAAAAAATAAAAATATTTTTACAATGAAGCCCCCGCGTCGCAATGACATTAACTCAAATGAAGACTAATTCTGATTTTTTTCTTTTGTAACTGAAATCAAATCAATCACTGAGTTTAAAAGGCACCTACCTAATAAAAATTATGAAGATATTTTAATATAATTCTCCTTTAAATATTAATAGATTTGAATTATTTCATTAAAAAAAACTTTGTACTAAATTAATTACAACATACAAAGTTTCTTAATTTATTCAAAATAATTTATAAGTAATAAATAATATAGGTTGTTTCAATATGTATATGTCACATCATTTTAAATATTTAAACAACATTTTTGTGGACTATGTTATTTTTTCTTTTTCTTTTTATCAGTTTTTAATTTTTATGTATTGCTGTAAAACAAATTAGAATGGCTACCTAAGCATAGCTAGTGCATCGATATTATTATTATTATACAAAAACTAACAATATTGCGGATGTCAATATCGACAATATCAATCTCTGGACTCCGATTATATATGGCAATAATATTATTATATATTTATGTATAAATGTATGATAGATTCGAAGTACCATCGTCGTTAATAGTGATCTGGGTTATTCTCCTGCGGGGCGCATTTGACCCATTTATATATCGTCAGTTGTAACTTGTAGTTTTTCGTATACGCCACCGATGCCGCCTCACGCACCTCTATTATAGATATACTGATGTATGTATAGTACAAGCAAAGTTGCTTTCTCTCTCACGTTTATACTACGTGCTGTTTTTAATACTTAAAAATCGTGACTGGACCCCGCACAGTTGAGTAATCCGCAAGGTACCTATCCTTATCTCGCACACAAATCCTACATACTCCTCTTGTGCATGTTTGTGTGTGTGTGTACGCGCGCATATGGACACCGCCTAGCGTCATCGTCGCCGAGATAGAAATGAAAAAAAAATGTAAAAAATAACTGTTGCCTCGACATTACACACACACGCGCGTGCACGGTATCATGACCTCTTCGAGGCAAACATATATTATTATTATGCTCTCTTGTCCTGGTGCTGCACTAGCTCTGTTCAGATAGTGTGTGTTGTAATTAATTTTTATCGTTGAGAGACGGTCTAGATGCTCGACACTCGACGGGAGGGCACTAAGCGCAGTATATTTAAAATACATGACGAATATTTGGTGTGTCGTATGTGACGTAAGGGATGTTGTACGAGAAGGTTTACTAGTATATTGCTATCATAGAATCTCCCGCTGGGAATTTGTATACAATCTGTGACCTCAACTACTATCGTTATCGTGCGTGTACTGTGTACAGTGAGTGGGATACTAAACAAATTAAAATAATAGAGTACATGTGTACTATATGTATATGTATATATATTATGACTTATAATATAGTTACATTACATTTGTATTTAGGTACAATATAATACATATATTTTTATATTTACCTATATTATCAACAAAAATAAAGTAGAAATACTTAAAACGGGTCTATATTCCGGCCCACAAGTAACCCGTGTTCCGACCAAAACGCATCCAAGTTGACATATCTCCCACCCATTAGATTTACGATATCGGATATACCGATAACGTTGGCGTCGGTCAAAATCGGTCACTGCCGTCAATATACATGCATAAAACAGTTTACTTCTCTTGTGGGCCGGAGAATAGAAAGATAATACATAGTTACTAAATTAATTTTTA